AACCTTTCAAGGGCTTGTCTAAATCTATCAAACCAAGCTCCGAGTGACTGTTTTAGTCCATACAAGGCTTTGTTCAACCGAAAAACCTTATTTCCTGTCTCTGTACCATAAAATCCAGGAGGCAACTGCATGTAAACTTCTTCTTGCAAGTCTCCGTTGAGGAAGGCATTTTTAACATCCATCTGATACAATGGCCAAGAGTAACTAGTTGCAAGAGATAATAAGACTCTGATAGTGATCATCTTTGCTACTGGTGTAAAAGTTTCCAAGTAGTCAATACCATATGTCTAAGTATATCCTTTTGCAACTAACCGAGCCTTATACCTTTCAATAGAACCATCAGCATTTTGTTTCACAGTGAATACCCATCTACATCCAACCGGTTTCTTACCTTTAGGCTGATCAACTATCTCCCAAGTATTGTTTCTGATGAGGGCATCCATTTTTGCTTTTATTGCATCTTTCCATTCTGGTACTTCCAATGCTTCCTGTATTGTTCTGGGAATGGGAACATCGGCAATGGATGCGAGAAAAGACTTATAGGAGGGAGACAAATGATCATAGGACAAGAACTGAGAAATGCTATGAGTTGTGGATGTAGTGCAACGACGCTTGCCCTTACGAACTGCTATGGAAAGATCAAGATCATCTAATGAAGGTGAAGGCTCCATGGTGGGATGTCTCTCATCTGTAATATCTGTGGTACCTGGATATGGCTCTACAGAAGGAACTGGGGCTACTGTGGTATCTGGATCTGCAGAGGAGATTGGGACAGGCCTGCACTATTGATATCCGAAATCAACCTGTCTCCATCGTCTGTGATAAACTCTTATATCCCTGCACCTTTGACAACCTTCCCCATTACACCCTTCTTCACTTAATGGGATTGGTAAAGGAACTTCTGATGAGTTGCTCCCATCCTCACTATTCTCCCCCTAAGGAGAAACCCTTGGATAATAGGGTTTATCCTCAAAGAAGGTGGCATCCATTAAAACAAATCTTTTTCCAGAAGTGGGTTCATAACAACAATATCCCTTTTGAGTTTGGGCATAACCAAGGAAAATACATTTGGAGGCCTTAGGATCAAATTTGGAACGATGAGGGCCAAGGATTTGAACGAAGCAAGTGCACCCAAAGGTTTTGAGTGGAAGGGTAAACAATTCTTCATCAGGGTATAAAAGGGTGGTTTCATGTCAAGAATCCGTGAGGGAATCCGATTGATGAGATAAACTGTTGTAAGAACAACATCCCCCCCAAAACGTATAAGCACATTTGAGGTAAACATAATGCCTTTGGCTACCTCTAATATGTGTCTATTCTTTCTTTCAACAACCCCATTCTGTTGTGGTGTATGTAGGCAAGTACTCTGATGGATAATCCCATGTTCAAGCATGTAGGAGGCTAATGGGTTTGCAAAATATTCTTTTGCATTATCGGATATAAAAATTTTAATTTTAACCCCAAATTAGGTTAAAATTATTTGGTAAAAGATCCGGGTTAATGCAGGAACCTCATCTCGAAAATGCATAAGATAAACCCAAGAAAACCGAGTATAATCATCAACAAATAACAGGAAATATTTGTACCCTCCCATTGCTGAGGTATGATAGGGTCCCCAAACATCAGTATGCACAATTTCAAAGGGAATATTGCTTCTGCTATTACTTAATGAATAAGTTATCCTACAATGTTTTGCAAGCTCACAACTTTCACACCTCAAACTAGACATCTGAATTGATTCAAATAAACTAGGAAACAAACTCTTCAAAGCCTGAAAGGATAAATGACCCAGCCTATTATGCCAAAGCATCACCTGATCAACAGATTGAGAAACAAAGGATTTCTTAATTTCACTATCTTCCTGACGAGCACTTCCTCCAAGTAAGTAGATTCCATTTGTCTCATGGCTAGTCCCAATCACCTTCCTTGTCTCCAAATCCTGAAAAACACATCGATTCGGAAAAAAGGTTATTGAACAATTCTGTTTTTTTGTAATGCTACTAACTGAGAGTAAGTTAGTATTAAGTTTAGGAACATGCAAAACGAATGATAGGGAAATGGCATCAGACAACTTGATGTCTCCTTTTCCAAAAATAGGAACAAGGGATCCATCAGCAATGGACACTTTGTCTTTACTAGAAGATAAATGATAGGTAGAGAAAAGTGATGGCAAGCCAGTCATATGGTCAAATGCTCCTGAATCTATTATCTAAGAATGTTCTATATTACCTAGAGCTGAAGCATGATAAGCTGAGGCCCGATTACCTGATTGAGCAAACGCTGAGGTTGAAGAGGCTGATGGTGGCTAAGGAGATGAGACTGAGTTACTAACTTCACTTTCCAATTGTGTTAGAGCAGCTCGGACAGCAACTAGGGTGTCTAGAGGAGTGCCTCTTGAGGCTGTTGAGGCTGCACTATCAATGTTAACAGCCATATTGGCATTCCCCTTTTTGTTTCTGAGTTTTGTTGGAACCAGATGTGGATATAATTTCCAACAAGTGTCTTTATGTGTTTAGGTTTCTTGCAATGTTCACACACTAGGTCTTTCTTGCAACATAACCTTTCTCCTAGTCTCCTCACTGTGCACTAGGGAATAGGCTTGAGACAGAGTCACACCCTCTCTTGTCAACAACTGTGGTCTTATAATGTCATACTCAGAATTTAGACCAGCTAGGAACTCAAATACTCTGTTAATTTCAACTTGTCTTCTGTAAGTCTATGCATCTCTCTGACTTTCCCATTCTATTGTCTCAAGATGGTCAATTTCATGCCACAGAGATTTTTGGGTTGAAAAATAAACAGAGACCTGTTTCTCTCCTTGTTTGAGATTTCTAACTTCCAATTTCAGCTCATAAGCCCTAGCAACATTAAGGGGCTGAGAGTAGGTTTCCTTCATAACATCCCATATTTCTTTAGCTGTTTTTGCCCATAATTAATTTCAGCTGATGTGTGGCTGCATGGAGTTGCACAGCCATGTCATCACCATATAATTTTCCTGAATCCACCTAGCATACGTGGGATCCTCCTTAGTTGGTTCCTTCACATCCCCCAACAAGTAGTTCAACTTTCCTCTTCCCCCAATGGCCATCATGGCTGATTGGGACCACTCTAAGTAGTTTGAAACATCAAACTTTACAGTTGTAATCAGAAAGGTGTTTTCAGACATTCTAACTGAACCAGTCCCAAAAACACCCTCTCCTTGGCTTTTAAACTCCATTAATAATCAGTAAAAAGACTTCCTAATTACTGTACTAGTCGGCCTACTGGGTCTGCAGTAGGTAATAGCAGTAAAAAAAATGTGACAGTCGGCCTATTGAGACTGATAGAAAAAAAATAACAGTTCTGTTGTAACAGTCCTGCTGAAACAGCTCTTCCAGAGAGCAAAGAAGTTGAGGGAGACAAGTCCTGAAGCAATAACAGCCCTAAAACTTGAGGGTTTTCTCTTAAACCCTAAAAGGAACTACAGAAATCTTCTGGAGTTTTTTTCGTACCTCTTATCCAGGTATTCTTACTACCGATCTTGAGAAAGATTGAAAAACTTACTAGAAAATTCTGAAAAGCTCTGATCTTGAACCAGAAATCTTCTGAAATTCTGATTGCAACCTCTAGTACTGATCGAAACAGAAATCCTTTGAAATTCTGATCGCCACCTTCAGTACTGATCAAGGGTTGACCTTGATCCTTTTCTCTTCCTCTAATTCTTCCTGGTTATCAAGGATACGATCCAATCCTTGGACTGCTGCTGTAGATAACCTCCAAGAATCAGCCAAAGAGAACTTTCTCTACTCTTCCAGCCCTAGGCAGCTCTCATGTGGTTGGCTGGATCAAACTCACATGAGACTCCCTGATTCAAGCTCTGATACCAAGTAGTCATACAAGGGTACAGATTTGAACAGAAAATAAAAGAAAAATTAGAAGAGAAGAGAAGAAAAAAGAGATGGAGAAGAAGAACTTGTGGAAGGGTTTTAGGAGAAGAGAGTAGTTGGTTGTGTTTGAAACAGCCATCCCCCTCTTAAATTTATATACATAGTATCATACTTGTAAAAGGACTGAATTGCTTACATGGCAAGATAAGATAGGATAAAGCTGAAAAAAAAAAACTAATCCTAATCTTATCCTAATCTTATAAAAGACTAGTCCTAATCTTATCATAAAGAATTAATCCTAATCATAACTTATTGCTGACATACGAACAGTGGGGACCACCTTAGTGGGGTCCACATTAGTGTTCTCTACACATATGTTAAAGAATAAACATTTAAACTAGAAGAAACCCAACCAACCATCTTCAGTTGCTCATGTTGAAAGCAAAGCTGCAAAATACCATTAGAGGTTGGCAATGAATTGCAAATTCTTCAATCTCAAGAACTAGAGAATCCCCAATTCCCACTTCCCAACACCACTGGTCTAAAATTTGGCAGGTGTAATATTGGGAAACCCTGGAAAATCAGGCATTTGGGAGTTTTCAGAAGTAGCCATCATAATGTTTTGTCCACCTTTTCAGGACCTATCACAGATAGCGGCATTACAATAGCAGAGCTATTAGCCTTACTACAAGGCTTGAGGTTGAGAAGAGCAATTTATCTCAGCAATTTTGAGGTAGAAGGAGACTCTAGAGTGATGGTAGGTTGAATACAGAATGACAGCTTACGGACATGGGAGAACAGACACATTACAGGAAGTGAAGCATCTAGCTAGACAATTGAGAATGACATCTGGATGACTGCATAAATCAGAAAAAAGCATGGCTGACATACTAGCTAGATATGGAGTGCAAAGAAATCAGATGTTTTGGGAAATTTAACAATTGATGATTGATTGCAAAGAAAAAAATAAAGAAAAGAAGGAAGAAAAAAAAAAGATGCACTTGGGCTAGCCTAAATGCTGTTCTTCAGGATGCTAGGCACACAAACATTCTTCTTTACAAATTAATAAAATTCTTAAATAGTTTCTAATCAAAAATAAGTTGGAAAATATATAACTACAGATTTTCAACTTACTTTTCAACAATGGAACAAATTTTGGCAGTAAGTATGCCCTTGAATTCGTGATCACTTAGTTCCAGATAATCAATGAGCTCTTTTATCAAGGGCTTAAAATTGCTGTCATTCGCTAGAAGAAATATGAGCTCAAGAGACCTCTTCCTAATGGAAGAATCTGAATCCTGTACAAGCACAAAAGCAAAATCACAAGCGTAGTTGTTTGCGAGGATTCAATCTGAATCAACCCTGATAGAAAAAGAGAGTTTCAAGCTTGAAATTAATCAATAAGAATAGATAATTCATATTCATTTTGAAACAAATATTAAAAATATTATAGTATGCATGGCAAGTTATTTCCCAATTTTATATTCATAACAACTTAGGAAAACATTGAAACATGCAATGAATGTAAAAAAACAAATAAATAAATACACCTTGGCTGTAGAAATTTATAATGATGAATATAGCCATACTGCAAGCCAAGTATGGTGTAGAAAGAAAGATCTAGCTCTTTGGAGGAATGTGGTAAGATATATTTGTGGTAACTATAACAAGGGTGGCATTTTCAAGATGGCTCTTCTTTGCATGTTAGTATTTGGATATCTTTTAGGTGCAAACCTTGGAATATCCAATTCCTGACAAACAGGGCACACCTCTCTGGAAAATTAAATAAAAAGAAGGAAAAAGGTAATATGATAATAAAAAAACGTGAACACAAAGGTATTTCTTGTCTTTTCTAGGAAAGAATGGTTTGGAAATTAGTTAGGGTTAACTAATTTCAGGCTTGTGTTTGTTTAGTGTTTATGACTCAGTCCTAGGGGGAGGTAACACCTCATGCCTCTTCCTAGGTTGAATGTACTACTATTTTTTGAATTAATAAAACTAGTCTCATTTATCAAAAAAAAAAAATAGTTAGGGTTAACCTTGTTTACAAAATGGGATGTATCAGTTGTAAAACACACCTGCAATAGTTCAAAAATATAGAAAAGAAAAGAAAAGGAAAGAAAAGAACAAAGTTTCTACAGAAGTACGTGGAAGGAGATGAGAGAAGAAAAGAAGGGAAGAAAGAAGAGAAGAGTTCGATCCTCTCTCTAGCCCCCAATTAGATCTTTTACTCTTTTAGTTCTAAGCTGAACACAATTCCCTAGAATGCCCTTTATGGGGCAGCCTGCACTAAAGAAATAATAAAAAAGAGAACACAAACATAACATAACTTAAGTAGAATAAAGAAATTAAGGCCCATTCAGCCCATCATCACTACACTCCCCCTTAAACTGAGCATAGATGTCAATCATGCCTAGCTTTCTTACATAATGTTGAAGCTTTGCTTTTGGAACTCCTTTAGTCAGAAAATCTTTTAGTTGCTCCTCTGATGCAATGAAAGGAAGGCATACCTCTCTTGAAGACACTCTTTCCCGTATAAAGTGTTTGTCTACTTCAATGTGCTTAGTTCTATCATTCTGAACTAGGTTGTGAGCAATGTTAATAGCAGCCTGGTTATCACAATATAACATTAGTGGCTTGTCACACACAACACCCATCTCATCAAGGAGAGATCTAAGCCATAAAAACTCAGAAACCCCATGGCCTTTAGCAGGAAGCCCAGGTGCAGTTGGAATTGGAGGGGCAAATCGGGTTATTAGAAAGGATGGTAACATTCATTGGGTTTTTAGTGGTCCAACAGTATTGTAGACTCTACCAAGGCAAATATTATAGCACCCTCGCTGGAATCCACATAGAAAGATATCTGAGCATCGGGAAATTAACTATCAAAGGTGACACAACAAATACCATCAAGTGGCTAAGAAAAAAGGAGAGGGTCCTTGTAAATTGCCACACCAGCTGACCGAGGTTTGAGACATTCTGAAAATGGATTTTAACTTATGCTGGATTACTAGGGAACTAAATGTATTAGCAGATGGCCTAGCTAAATCTGGTGCATACTTGGCCTATTTGTATAGTGACAAATCCCTGCTGGTGTAGGCTTGTCTGGCCATTTTTGTCTTTTATTTTTTGGTGTACATCTTTTCATGTACTTCCCTTTTTTCTTGAATGAAAGTTATCTTTTCTCAAAAAAAATGGCAGATGGGGAGGGTAATTTGTATGGTGACAAGATCTTTATTTGAGTAGACTTTTTGGAAGGATGGTGGTCTGTTAATACCCTATACATCAATTTAAACCTCTTCATGCACAATGTTCTTTAAACCTGTAGCCTTCAGATTAATCAAGGAAGAAAAAGAAAAAGAAAAAGAAGAAAAAAGAGAGGAAAGAAAGAGGAAGAATGAGGGGAGAAAACCTGGTTCGAACTTGTTAGAGTTAGCCGAATAAGGGTAGATTAGTCAACTCACCTTGGTTAAGTTATGAGCTTATGTGGCAGTCTTATTAGAGGTTCTCTGTCCCATACTTAAGTAGGGGCAGTTTAGTCCTTGTACATTTAATTAGAAGCCTAATCACTATTAAGAGGTCGACT